CCCACCCCCCCCCCCCCGCGGGGCGGGCGGGGGGGGGGGGGGGGGGGGGGGGGGGGGGGGGGGGGGGGGGGGGGGGGAAATAACAGACAAGAGCCCTATCATATTTTTGGAGATACTCTGTCTTATCTATTTTGATAACCCTCAGTTTCAGCAATTCAATTTGATGGTTTAAATTATGCTCCATGGTGTAACTCTGACATTATACTAAATAAATGAACTAAAGAACACGATTGAAACATGAAATAAAGATTAAAATAGCAAAACGGCAAGAAATCACCTTACAACAAGAAAAGAATTTATTTGAGGAGCATTTTCTCAGAAATATTCAAAGATTCTCTATAGTTGCGTTAGATTTGTTTTCTGTATATTAGCCAATAGGAAAATTTAAAAAAGCCTAATTCAGATCATAGGAAACTAAACTAAGAAACTACGCTTTTTCGCGTATTCTGTTCAAAACTTTTGAAAGAATGGTACGGAAACATAGTTTGCCTTAGCTAAAAGCGTTGCGTTGCGTCAGCTTTTCCCCAATTGTTGGGAGCGTATGGTCGCGGTGTTCCTCATTAATTCCACTTGGTGGAATGCTTACTCAATATCGGCTAGCACTGCAACAGACGAAAGGCTAAACCTTACGAAAAGACAAAGCGAACCCGGAAGCCTGCAAGGACCAATTAAGAGGAGCTCATTGAGCGAAGGAAATTCGTGTTCGTGAGAGCTCGCGTCTAGGACGGGTCAGGATTAACATCAAGGAGTTGCTCAATAACCAGGTTGATCTTGGTCGAGCGTTGGCATCGATCTCTGAAAAAAGAATATCTAGAATGGAGACACAGCAGTAGGATCGAATACCTGGTTGATGTCTAATTTCAGCTTGTGGCAACATATCGAAGAGGCACGAAGTTAATGATTGACGTTGTTTGGCCAAGGCCAGTACGAGGAATGAAAACAACACTTAAAACCCACCACAGTGGTTGAGGGTTGTTTGTTTTCTGTACTGGTTCGGTTGACCACTGGATCATCCAAACAACAACTGGAGAAGCTGTCGTTGAACGCAGAACAACGTACATTTTGGCATCTGCTGCGTTTGTCCTTACGAAATGCTTTGCAGCTGCCCTACTGCTTCTGTGGCTAGAAAAGTATGCAGTCACCTGCATATAATTCAAACTAAATTCAGAGATTTTGAAAAAAATAAAAAAAAAAACTTTTATATTTAGGATGTAGCTCCGTTGAAGTTGCTTTTCTTCTATCTGTAGTTTGAGATCCTACAGTTCCTATCGTGCGAGACCTCAACAACAACACATAATCAATTTAAGTTTCACTTTTTGATTGCGGCCTCTTTTTCAAAACCTCTCTTTCCTTTGTTGTTTGGTGAGGGTTTGCACGGGCAAATGATTGTATGGATGGTGGAATCCTGACACATCACCTCGAGCCCTGGCTCGATTGTTGGGGAACCAGGGGAGCTGTGGAACAACTGGGAAAGGTCGATTAGCATATACGTAGTACGGTAGTTTCTCACGTGTTACTTTGGGTTTGGTGTCTTGGTCTCAACGGGTCGCCTTTGGCGTTGGAAATCCTAGCCAGCGTCTACGTGGATAACGTAGTTATCATTAGGCAAGATGTTTCGAAATGCTGCATCGACCTTCCGCTAGCCTCTCATTTATTCGAGCAGATCGGTATGAATCTCCGCGAGTTTGCTTCCAATGAACCAGCAGCTCTTGAGTTGCTCCCCACGAACAAACGTAGTGAGATTCCCTCCCAGTCAGCTCTAGGGCTCTCTTGGGATACCTCCATCGACTCCATCTCCATGCAGGTACCGCCCTCGATCCCCGATAAAGTAAAGACAAGAAGATCGACAATGAGCATTCTCGCGTCATTCTTTGATCCGCTAGGATTGCTTTCTCCCGTACTACTCCATCTACGTCTGCTTATGAACCTCACGTGGCCGGACGCAGTCTCGTATGATCTAGAAGTAGAGGACGCTAAAGCGGTCTCATGGGCTCATTTGGCGATGAAAACAAAAGAAATCGTACGTAGCCTTAAAATCAACTGCCCTCTCACCGACTAACACAATGCAAGCAACATACTTTAGAAGTCTTCGCTGACGCTTCCGCCCTTGCCAAGGGCGTATGCATGTACCTACGGGACGGAACAAGCTCCTCCATGTTAGTAGCCAAAAGCCTAACAGCTGCAAAGGCCACTATCCCTAGGCTTGAACTAGAAGCGATCGTCGATGCAATGGAGTTGACTTCTCTCCACATCTCAGCCGTCGAACCACTAGTAGACAATATTATTTCCTACTCAGACTCGACCACTGCTCTCCAGTGGATCCACTCGAGTTCTTTGCCCGACCAGAGATTCGTCTTCAACGGCCTTAAAAAGATGAAACAAATTCACAAGCAGCTCTCCAGTCAATGCCGAGTAGCTTACCGTCACATAGACGGAGAGCATAACCCCGCGGATCACGCCTCGCGCGGATCCTCACCAACCGCCTTTATAAAAAACAGGTCTTGGTGGGAGTTAAATGATAGTAGGCCTTCCTTACTTTCATTTATGGCGGAACAAGCCTTCTGTTCTATCCCTGAAATAGACATAACACTCACCACCATCGAGACCCGAGTCGCTAAAAAAGGGGATAAAGACTATGGCTCGTATAGAGCACTCTTGCTCTCCTACAAAGCCAATGTGGTACTCCTTAATCTCATGCTAAATCGTCTCGAACACCAACCTGTTCTACGAGAGAAATTGCGCGATGCCTTCCCTTATTTGGGTCGGCCCGATCTGACGATCCGAGACCAAGCGGAAATAATGCTGGTGCTATCTCACCAGGAGGAGGAAAACGAGGCAATTCAGCGATACACCCATAACCGGGATGTAGCTCCAGATACCTTCGGCATAATTTGTCTAAAGGGAAGGTTCCCAGGAGAAGACAACCACCCTTGAATTATATATGGTAAATCACACTTAGCTAAGTTGATATTCCTCCACTACCACACTCTGAATAGCCATTGCGGTGGTCGCATCACACTGGCAAGACTACGCTCGAAGTTCTGGCCCTTACCGGCCAAGCAACCATTGAACAAGGTCATAGCACAGTGTCAACGATGCAGGAGACTTACATCTACCCCATTCAAGAGACCAACCATAAAAGAGCTCCCAGTCACAAGAATAACAGGAGACGTTTGGGAACGCGTAGGCCTCGATGAATTAGGTCCCTATAAAGTAGGAACTCACAGTCGTCACCTTTTGCTGATGACTTGTTTCGTCACAAGAGCTATACATGTGGAAGTACTTCACAACACCTCTACTGCTGAGATAGCCCTGGCACTTCGGCGCTTCTTCGCACGATATAGAGCTCCTAGATCAATATTCTTGGATAACCTATCATCCCACGTAGCGTTACGTAATTTGTTCTCCGTACAAGAAAACACGCAAATCCCACCTCCGCTACAACACTTGGAGCAAGTGCGTCCCACGGGTATCGTGCGTCCCACGGGTTTAACGAGGTAGTCGAGGAGTACAAATCGCTATGTTGTGATCACTCCAATCGAACCTTCGATACGGACGCAAGGCCTACCCCCCCTACAGCACGTAGTCCGAGCGTCCAGAGATTTCCTTCTCCTCACCCATCCTCGCATTCCAACATGCATTCTGCCCCACCTATGGCGGCCACGGTTCTTAGCCCTTCTACCCCAGGCTGGTGTTGAGGTAGGTCTCATGGGTTGGGAGACCGGGAACACTAAACCTGCGGCAGTCGGGCTACACACTGCTAAAGCATTGGGCAGGAAAGCAGAGTGAGCGGGTAGGTTCATGGATTGGTGCATAGACGATGTAAACCCATGGACACTGGGGTTACGTACTGGAGGGGTGATAGGCCCAACATCTATATCGCAGGTTTTAGTAGTGTGATCACAGCAAAGAGATGTGTACTCTTCTATAACCTCGTTAACCCCATGTGACTCGCAATATTCGATGTAGGAGTCGAAGCCCGTAGCGATATATTGCGGGATTTCTGGAGTGCACCACTTGCGAAACTTTATCATCGTAAGTTACAAGGTCATCGTGGCGATATGTCATGGCGTTAAGGGATACATCAGAAGGAGCGAGCACGTATGCTGCTATTTTGTCTTTTAGGGCTTGAATTTTCCGGAAGAGACCGGTTTTGGAGCCGTTGACAATGCGCGCCACATGAATAGGCAGTCGGTCAGAACTATTGGCCCCAGCAGTCAGTCTCTGGTCCCCTTCAGGCGGAGGATCGTACAACGCGTCTTCTTCACGAAGATCGACGAACATTTGTAAGAGCTGCTGGTACACGAAAAGCCAAGAAGACAACTAACGAAACAAAAAGAAAAAGGCAAAAGAAAATAAACAAATAACTAAGAAAATAAAGAGCAGAAAAGGAGCGAAAAGGGTTACTATCGATCAGGCCGGGGAGCCAAATGTAGTAATAACGGTAGTGTCGTATAAATGGATCGATATTTCTATTTCTTGTAGGAGAGCGAGAGCGAAAATCAC